TGTCAGAGATTTTCTCGGACAAAGTTAAAGAAATGACTCGGCACACAGGAAAATTGTCTTCAATATCGGCGGGAGCGGATCTCTGAGAGCGAACGACGGTAGTTGCTCCAATGATCACACCCTCTCCGCTGGTTCTAACTTTTATTTGAGCGAACGACGGTAGTTGCTCCGATGATCACACACCCGGCTCCCTCTCCGCCGGTTCGAACTTTTGTTGCAAAATACAAGAAAGACACTGCCCCCGAGATTTGCATACCGCGCCCCCCGGTCCGGCCCCTCGGTAGTGATCTGATCTACCCGAATACACAAGTCACAGACTTTGCTGATGACAAATGTCCACCTGGGCGCGACAGCTGTTCCCAAACTGTCTTTTGGTATTCAACAACTCTTTGTTCCCAATTTGTTTATTCCCACTCTGTGATTGAATCTAGCCTTCTTCCATCTGTTCGCCCCCCTTGCTTTGACGTGATTACTCAAGAAAAGGCTCTCCGCCCAAACGGCCGACACCTCTGCGCTATGTCCAGACATGCCCAAATTAACCGAAACTTTAAACATGATACAATTTTGTTCTTAGATTTCTCAATCAGTAATACAATACAATACAGCTTTATTTAAGTAGAGCTTTTATAAGTGCTGCAGCTTGAACAAAGTGCTTTACAGAACATTTAAAATACCACGTCCAAGAAATCAGAATATTGATCGTTATATAAGGCGCATCGGATTATAAGGCACGCTGTCGGCTTCTGAGAAAAGTGAATGTTTTTAGGTGCACCTTATATTGTGGAAAATACGTTAATTGAATACCCTCCCCTGAACATTTATGCCATGTATTCATCAATGGTACAAGATAAACTTGAATCCAACGGTGCTTGCCTCCATTTCAATATTAAGTTCGATGACCAAGCCAAGATTGTGTCCTTTGTGATACCTTGCTGTGTCCAGTGATTTGTAGATATTTTCATATCGTTTCTTTCTTGTGGCGCTAAGGTCAGCTGACAAATGTATGTAAGCAGCCATCCTCCGATTTAAAAGTAAATGTGAACTTGATTTGTGGCAGTCACCCACTCCTACTGACTCTCCTTTCATTTCTGGTTGCGTGTTTGCATTTAGGCTCCAGGTGGAAGTCCATGTCCAACCAGGAGAAGCAGCCTTACTATGAAGAGCAGGCCAGACTCAGCCGGCAGCACCTGGAGCGCTACCCGGACTACAAGTACAAACCTCGGCCCAAACGCACCTGTATTGTGGAGGGACGGCGGCTGAGGGTTGGTGAATACAAAGCCATGATGAAGAGCCGCAGACAGGAACAGAGGACAACATACACCAGGAGGTAGAAATACAGCACCCAAACTTAATGAAATTATTTGTGGTGTCAAATAGCAGTAGCAAGTTGTCACTGTGACTGTTTTGTATGTGACTGGGTGCACAACATTTCTTTGTGATGTCTTGTTCCAGTTGCATGTTCGCCTCACTGTTCCAAGATTCGAGGTTTGGCTTTTCTGTGTGACGCATGCATGTTGACACGGTTAATTTTTATAATATCAGTCAGAATGTTGTAGCGCGAATGCCTTCCGTTCGTTGCATGCCAGCAAGGCCACAGGCTCAAAATTAAGGATGTACAAAGAAGTTATTTGGACACATTTTGTATTTCGCCAACAGACAGGGAAGCACGAACCGCACAAGTCACCCGTAGTATAAATTGTATGTGTGCATATTCCGCCTTAAAAATGTATCTGATTTTGCGCAGTGTCCGTGAGTATGCGGCGCGGACACCCGCAGCGGCTCCTCTTGTTTTATGTTGAGAGGGAAGAAATTTCATCTGTGCTGTACAGCACATTTGACAATAAAGTTGTATTCAAATTCAAAAGTATCTTCCTCACACCCAGTGGAGAATTGTTTATGAAATGAATGCTGAATGGTATCAAAGAGGATGTGAAAGGTGCTTTCTGACAGCAAAGCTGAACAAGCCTGTTTGAGAAACAGCTCTTTTGCTGCAGGAGAGTGGCGTGGAGCCGATGGAAATGACAGTCCGAGAAAGGAGAGCGCTTTGCTCAGTAATCGCTGGTCCCTCACTGACACAAACGTCTCCATTGCGTCTTCAGTCCCATGATGCCACGATATTCTAACCTGTGAGACGTGTTAAAATATGCTCACATAGCAGTAGCTATGTGGTGCACGCCCACCCACTCCCGCAGCTGAAATTGTGTGATGGCACATGACAGTTCAAAAACATCCGTTTTTGTACCATTTTTTTTTTCACCGCATTTTGCTCCAGATTTCCCAATTTAAGAGGCATTGGACTTTGCTGCACTGTAGTCTTCTGGCGTGGATTTGGGTGTGTGCTCACACAACGCCACAGGGCTAAGTCATTAGTAAGAATCTTAAGAGAAATGCCACCCGTCAATTAATGAATCGCTTAGAGTACAATTTCTATCACGTCACAGGAGGAAATGTTGTTCACAACAAGGAAATGTTTGTTTGGCAGGGGTGTCATGATAAAATGTCCTCTCTAAAAAGACAATGGCCTGCATCAAACCTCAAAAATGGTTACTTTTTGTTTTCACTTTTGTTTTGTTAAGTCAAAGGATCAAATTGGTTTCATACGGCATCATACGTAGAAATAATTGTGGTCAGAAGAGCCCTCTCACACCCGTTGGGGCAGCATAAAAGTTCAACGATAGGTTACTTGATGAAATTATAGGGTGGTCTGCGGTTTATCACGGAATTCGTTCCTAACGTGCGATAGTCGAAACATGCATAGTCTCCTTTACCTCTGCTAACACAGTCGTAAAATCGTGACTACAGTGAATATTTGTGTGAAAACAGACGCCTGCTGGCCTAACAAGTTTCAAAAGCACTGACCTACATACACTATACAATCTATAGTCTAATATTTGCTCCATGAAATTGTATAAATGTATTCCCAGCAGTCATAGCGTTTGTCTCGGCTGTATTGGATGCAGTATTGTATGTGTGGACTGTATGCTATATTGGCAATGGGTCTGTTTCTTTTGCCAATCAGGTTTCAGATTCGTTTCAAAGGGCCAGCTTGCTGGCCCAAAATGACGTCAGCATTTTCCCATCTTCTGATAGGTTGGTTGGAGCAAGCCAGGCGAAACGCGCTTGTAGTTTTTATATACCGTATTTTCTACATTATAAGGCGCTTCGGATTATATGGCGCAACTTCAATGAATGGCCTACTTTAAAACTGTTTTCATAAATAGGGCGCACCACATTTAGTGGCTGTGGTTGCACTATGCATCCACTAGATGGTGCTACGCTAAAGGGAATACAATACCATACAATACAATACAGCTTTATTTACATAGAGCAGGGGTGGCCAACCAGTCAGACTAAGAGCCAATTTTTTTGTCTGTTACTGCAAAGAGCCGCACACACACACGCATGCACGCACGCACGCACGCACGCCCGCACACACACACACACACACACACACACACACACACACACACACTTTTGCCCAAAGATCGACTTTTGGAGCACCAACCTCCCACAATCGATCCGATTGCACATGTGCAAGCATATGAACACACACACACACACGCGCACACACGCACACGACCATGCACTCGTGCACGTATGCATGCACGCAATGACGACCAACAGCCTGAGCGCCCGAACATAAATTGAATTGAATTGAATACAACTTTATTGTCAAATGTGCTGTATGTATGTGTAACATACAGCACAGATGAAATTTCTTCCCTCTCAACTTAAAACAAGAGGAGCCGCTGCGGGTGTCCGCGCCGCCAAATGAAACCTAAAGACACAAACACACGAATCTTTTTTTTTCCCCATTTTCTCCTCCCACCGCTCGCGATCAACTTGGGACCAGTCTGCTGGCTCTTGGTCGATTGCGATCGACGTATTGGGCACCCCTGCCTTAAAAACAGAGGTAATTCGCTGACTAGCTTAGCACTTAGCACTTAGCGCCATTGTCTGCGCATGAGCGGTGATTCAGTCATCTGACTGGTTGCCCTCTATGTCAATCAAGTAATGGGATTGGTGGTAGGCTGACGTAGTACGTTCCATGTATTAAGCAACGTTGTTTTAATGGCAGCGCCATCACCGAGGCGTTTTCGACAATTGTGTGAAAGCCCGGGAGCCGCATTGAGCCAGCCAAAGAGCCGCATGCGGCTCGCGAGCCGCGGGTTGGCCACCCCTGACATAGAGGCTTCACAACCGCTGCAGCTGTAACAATGAGAACTGGTCACAAACGCGGACTTGAAACATATCAAGACAAATGGCGTTACAAAACAATAAATGAAAGAGAGAAGTTATGTTACGATTGATTCAACAAAAAGGCACACAAACCTTGTGGGCTGACATCCACAAAGGACTAAATATCTTGCTTGTCTCCTTCCTTCCTTCGTTTGGTCAGTAGTTAACTATGCTTTTGCTATTATCTTCGTTTCAATATGGCTGCGCAGAGCTCACAAAGTAGTAGTTTTTGTTTGTTTGTTTGTTTGTTTATCTTTTACAAATTTTCAAAGAAGTGACATTTTGCTTATCTATTTAGTCCAACAGAACCACAACCCATCCATTACTCGCACAACGATGCTTTGTACCAGACCAGTGGTGGTGGCAGCGCTGTCTCCATGGCATCCATGTCCTTTCACTCCTCCCTTCTGGAGCATTACCTGCCGCAGCCTCCGCCTGCGTCGCATCGAGTCGAGGGCCCGGCCACACCTGCCCCTGTGCCCCGGCTGAGACAGCCGGACAGAGAGCGGCAGCAAGCGCCGTACAGCGAAGGAGAGGAAAGTGACAGAGGGGACAGAAGTGAGGGGGAACTTGTCCTCCTCACCGATTGAAAGGAATACATGAAAATTCCAAATGAACTGGAAATAAAAGAAGGG